ATAACAACAACATACACCCATACACGCGAAACGACACAACGCAAACAACGCGACAACGCTCYTAGCCCTTCGGTATCCAACCCATAATCTTCTCGGCGCAGAAACCGGATAGGCGTCACGCGAGAGACCCRGTATAAGATCCTGCGGATGCAGGGCTAACTCATATCGACTCGCAATGCAAGCGCGCGCAAGCGGTCGCAACGATGGTGTACCATGTAGTACCCATACTCCCGCGGTCCTCGTTAATCGCAAGGGTCGCGTTTGACACTCGAGTGTCGGCTGACATGCGCCTTGAGGGCTAATCTCTCGACGCTGGACAACCGCCATGTGCAGTTGAAGACCACACACCCTCTTCTGCACCCTTATGTAGAGTGGCTGGTACACAKGTCYACATCCTGTGGTGGTAGTCGTCTCTCGCAGCCCTAGGGGTGAGTCCTCCCCGGGCTTGGGCGAAAGTCAAGGGGTTAAACTTTGACGGCTGCCACGGACAACAACGTCCAACCATAGAAATCTCTAAAAAGCAGACAGGGCACACACGAAAACAAGAAAAGGGGCTAGGGCAAAGGCCCCCCTTGCCTTAGAAGGGAAATCGTGACCTTGGGGTACCCTCCCCCTCTACGGTTGGTGTCGGCAGCCTGCAATAATCCAAGCGCTGTGCCTAGGCGCGAGCCCGGCAATCCCATAACCTTTGGACGCCAGGGCGGCGAGACGTCGCGCGCAGGGCCCTAATATAAACTGCGCGGTCGCAGGCCAATCCTATGCCAACCACTGATGCCAATCATACGTGGTACCCGCGGCTCCGGCCTCGCGATATTGAATGGCTGAAGGAACACGTCGAGAGGGGTTACCCCTCACGATATTGAATGGCTGAACGACACGTCGTTCGGCCCTTGCGACATTTCCGCCTTTCCGGTGGGGTGTCCCGCCGACCAAAGTAAGCAGGCTCTATGCGAGGGGAGACTCCTCCCCTTCAGGGCCTAGGGCTTGGGATGTCCAGGACAASGACCTCGAATCCCGGCCCAGGACGAACGTCCGACTAAGAAAAGCCCCGAGACGCAAATAGACAGAAGGGADGGGCTTCCCTGTCCCTCAATCCCAACTCTCGAGTGGTTGTTAACATGACCTCTTAGGCCTCCCGAACACTCATCGTACGTATATCCACACATAGAAACAGAGGGAGGATAATGTGGTGACGATCACTCCTCACAGGCACAGTGAGACTCCTCACAACCATGTATATGTATATGGAATCGCAGGCAATCCAAATCCAAAATCCGAGCCACAAGAAATACCTCCAACCACACTAAGAATCAAGCGACAAAACACGCACTACACGGAGTCAACCCCAATCATTCTCTATGCTCACACCCCTTCGCTTTAGCCATGCAAGCCCCAATTGTCAGTCCAACCAACCTCAATTAAATACTCAGTACCTTTGTCAAATGGCCATTCAATAAAAGTCCGGGTGAA